GATAATAGTAATGATAGTGATAATAGTAAAGATAATAATGATAATACTAATGATAATAATCATAATAATACTAGTAAACTGGTCAGTATTAACAAAAGCATCAATGATAATTATATTCATGATGATAATAATCATTATCATTATTATTGTTACTATTGTTTTTATCATTATTATTTATTTATTTATTTATTATTATCATTATTATTATTATTATTATTATAATTTTCATTATCATTATTATTATTATTATTATTATTATTATTATTATCATTATTGTAATTATTATTATAATTATTATTATAATTATTATTATTATAATGATTATTATTTTTTTCATTATCATTATTATTATTATTACCATTATAATCATTATCATCATCGTTATTATTACCATTGTTATCATTATCATAATTATTACTAATAACAATATCATAATTATCATTATTATTGTTATTATCATGTTACTAATGCTTACTACTACAAACAACACCAAAACAACAGCAACAAATTCAAACAACAACAGTAAAATCAAACAACAAACATACAAACAACATGTCTCTGCGATACTCTCCTCTAAACTGAAGGAGAGAAAAGAAAGTCCTGCGGGAATTTCCTGTCGGCTCCGCCCCCCCACCCCCTCTACCCCCTTCCCCTCCTTCGCCAATCCACTGTCTTCCCCACCCCCACTATCACCCCTTCCCCCCCCCACGGTTCGCGCCCCCTACCCCACACCCCCTTCGCCAATCCACTGCCCCTCCCCCACCTCCCCCTCCATCACCCCCCCCCCCCCCCAACACGGCTAGCGCCCCCTACCCTCTTCGCCAATCCACTGCCCCCCCACCCCCACCCCCCCTCGTCCATTTCGTCTTCACGGTCCAGTGGTTTCGCGGCGAGGGCTGTGTGGGCGCGAGATTATTATGTTGTTTTTTTTAGTCATTTCCTATTTTTGTTTATTTATTTATTTATTTATGTATTTATTTATTCATTTATTTATTTATTACTCGTCTGGCACATTAGCAGGCATCTGGGATCATACTGGCGTACGATTCTCGAATATTTTTTTATAATAATGGGTTAATGTTTTTTTTTTCTTTTCTTTTTTTTCTTCTTCTTGTTTTCTTATTTTCTTTTCCCCTTTTTCTCTCTCTTTTTTACCAGTTTGTTTACGTGTAAATGATATTCTAATATCTTAATTTATTTCTCCTTAATTCTATATATCTATCTGTCAAAGTCTCTCTCTCTCTCTCTCTCTTTCTCTCTCTTTCTCTGTCTCTGTCTGTCTGCCTGTCTGTCTGTCTGTCTGTCTGTCTCTCTCTTTCTCTCTCTCTGTCTCTGTCTGTCTGCCTGTCTGTCTGTCTGTCTCTCTCTCTTTCTCTCTTTGTCTCTGTCTGTCTGCCTGTCTGTCTGTCTGTCTGTCTGTCTGTCTGTCTCTCTCTCTCTCTCTCTCTCTCCCTCCCTCCCTCCCTCCTCCCTTCCTCCCCCCCTCCTCTCTCCCTCTATCTCTCCATCTCCCTCTCCCTTTCTCCATCTCACATAACTCCACCTCGACACAGACCTCATACCCCCCCCCCCCACCTTCACTACCACTTGCTTTGCTAAATAGAAGTTAATACAAGTGTCAGGCTGATCTGCCATGCTTTATACTCCACTTAAGAATGGGCAACCCTTCATCGCTACCTATAGCCGCTACCCTTACCTACTCAGCTTACCCTCAGTTTACTCTCAGTGTACCCTCAGTTTGCCCTCAAGTTCATCTTAGTTTACCATCAGCTTAATGTCAGTTTACTCTAAGCTTACCTTTAGTTTATCTTCAGCTTACCTTTAGTTTATCTTCAGCTTACCTTTACTTTACTTTCAGCTTACCTTTAGTTTATCTTCAGCTTACCTTTAGTTTAT